ACCGCCACCGCCGCCGCCGCCACCGCCACCGCCACAGCCACCCCCGCCGCCGCCCCCGTCATTGCATATGCCGGCGTTGCAACCTCCGCCTCTCATATAGCGCGCGCCGCTCGCGGTCGTGAGCCAGCATCTCGTTGCCGTCTTTCGTATCGCTCGCCTCCCTCATCTGCCTCCATATGGGCAACTACACTGTGGTAGAGACCGTGACTGATAGGTCGACGCTGCATCTCGTGCCCTCCTAAAACGCGCTTGGCGCCCGGTGGACAGGGATTTGGCGCCTGTCTCTACAGATTCTCGCTTTTTAAATTTTATCATCGAGTAATTACTGAATCCTTTACCATTCGAGATTTGAATAGAGATAATAAAAGTCATGTGACTTACAACTTACGCTAAGGCAAAATTTCTCACAACTTTGAGCTGAGATTTTTAATATTGCTGATTTTTTAATATCTGATATACAAATGTAATTTGATTTGATTGAGTCATTGATTGAGTGATATGAGCGCTTTTGAACCATAAAGAGAAAAATTGCATACTAAAACTGAATTGCTAGCAAAATATTTTTCCGCTGTGTCACCCTTCACCTTAAAAGCATCTTTCTCACAAACTTAGACTGCAGAGACACCCTCGTGTCTTCAATCTTGACGCGAGTGCCATCTCTTTTTTCCGCCTTCGTCACCGTTTTCTTCAAAGTCTGCGCCTCACGCTGTTACGTACGTCCGCGCGTTCGCTTTCGCGCCGCCTCCGCCGCGCCGCCCCCGCGGCCACCTCCACGCGGCGTCTGGCGCGGCCCGGAAGCGAGTGACCGCCCACGTGGGTCGCGTGGCGCTGAACAATGCAACACATTCTTTTGAGAAAGCGTTCCGGCATAGACAGGTGCGTCTGCCGGGATTCCTCTGCCCCTCTTTCCGTCTTCCGCGTTAATTATTGCCACGAAAGAAACGGGCGGGATATAATCATAGTGCGTCACTTCTAACATTTCCATGGAGAAGTTTTGGGCTGGGGTGTTAAGAATTTAGTTAGGTAAGTTGGTAAATAGCTAAAGAATAAATCCCTCTGTGATGAAACACTCCTTCCTCGTTTGCCACTATTTAACTCTTTGAAAGAGAAAAAATCTTTGAAGATACAGGTTCCTCACATGGTATGCAGCAGGAAATAAGATTTTCGTTACGACAT